TCATCCATACACGACACTGCCTTCGTTTGTACACCAATGTCATACATGCATGTGTTACCTCCAACTGCCTCGTAAATCAGGTCATCCATACACGACACTGCCTTCGTTTGTACACCAATGTCATACATGCATGTGTTACCTCCAACTGCCTCGTAAATCAGGTCATCCATACACGACACCGCCTTCGTTTGTACACCAATGTCATACATGAATGTGTTACCTCCAACTGCCTGGTAAATCAGGTCATCCATACACGACACTGCCTTCGTTTGTACACCAATGCCATACATGCATGTGTTACCTCCAACTGCCTGGTAAATCAGGTCATCCATACACAACACTGCCTTCGTTTGTACACCAATGTCATACATGAATGTGTTACCTCCAACTGCCTGGTAAATCAGGTCATCCATACACGACACTGCCTTCGTTTGTATACCAATGTCATAGATGCATGTGTTACCTCCAACTGCCTGGTAAATCAGGTCATCCATACACAACACTGCCTTCGTTTGTACACCAATGTCATACATGCATGTGTTACCTCCAACTGCCTGGTAAATCAGGTCATCCATACACGACACTGCCTTCGTTTGTACACTAATGTCATACATGAATGTGTTACCTCCAACTGCCTGGTAAATCAGGTCATCCATACACGACACTGCCTTCGTTTGTACACCAATGTCATACATGAATGTGTTACCTCCAACTGCCTCGTAAATCAGGTCATCCATACACGACACTGCCTTCGTTTGTACACTAATGTCATACATGAATGTGTTACCTCCAACTGCCTGGTAAATCAGGTCATCCATACACGACACTGCCTTCGTTTGTACACCAATGTCATACATGCATGTGTTACCTCCAACTGCCTGGTAAATCAGGTCATCCATACACGACACCGCCTTCGTTTGTACACCAATGTCATACATGAATGTGTTACCTCCAACTGCCTGGTAAATCAGGCCATCCATACACGACACTGCCTTCGTTTGTATACCAATGTTATACATGCATGTGTTACCTCAAACTACCTGGTAAATCAGGTCATCCATACACGACACTGCCTTCGTTTGTACACCAATGTAATACATGCATGTGTTACCTCAAACTGCCTCGTAAATCAGGTCATCCATACACGACACCGCCTTCGTTTGTACACCAATGTCATACATGCATGTGCTACCTCCAACTGCCTCGTAAATCAGGTCATCCACACGCGACACTGCCTTCGTTTGTACACCAATGTTATACATGCATGTGTTACCTCCAACTGCCTCGTAAATCAGGTCATCCATACACGACACTGCCTTCGTTTGTACACCAATGTTATACATGCATGTGTTACCTCAAACTGCCTCGTAAATCAGGTCATCCATACACGACACTGCCTTCGTTTGTACACCAATGTCATACATGCATGTGTTACCTCAAACTGCCTCGTAAATCAGGTCATCCATGCACGACACTGCCTTCGTTTGTACACCAATGCCATACATGCATGTGTTACCTCAAACTGCCTCGTAAATCAGGTCATCCATACACGACACCGCCTTCGTTTGTACACCAATGTTATACATGCATGTGTTACCTCCAACTGCCTCGTAAATCAGGTCATCCATACACGACACTGCCTTCGTTTGTACACCAATGCCATACATGCATGTGTTACCTCCAACTGCCTGGTCAATGCCCCAATCCTTCCGAAGATTTTCTGTCTGTAGATATGTCGGTAGATACAAGGAGTAAACAAGCCAAATATCCCTTCTACTTTCCTTTCTCTGTTCCAATCAGATGAAATGATGGTTTTTCGAAATGTAACCTCGGTTCAAACTCAAGTTCATGTGTTTTTTGTGCTCGCCCTGCAAGTTCCTAACGATACTTCTATGTATATATTGGGAAGGGAATGTTTCCATTAGGCAGGTGCGTGTTTATGGTTATTCAAACGTCACACTACTTCGTCATGACTGGGCGGTGGGGTAGCCTAGTGGTTAAAGCGTTGGCTCGTCACGCCGTAGACCCGGGTTCGATTCCCCACATGGGCACAATGTGTTAAGCCCATTTCTGGTGTCCCCCGCCGTGATATTGCTGGAATATTGCTAAATACGGAGTAAAACTAAACTCAGTCAGTCAGTCGTCATGACTACATTTCAGGAAGTACATTAGTACAACTACACCAACATTCCATGTGAGGTGTCCAGAATACATTACCCACACCAACAACGACCACGCTGTTTCATCATTATAATGGGTTGGTGTGATTCAGTTGACCTGTCACACTGGTTCAAGTTTTGAAACTTCAATATTGATGTGAGATACAGCATAGCTCTGTTACCATGGTTATATCGTTGTTCATTGGCCATGTGGTTAGACCAGGATATAAGTGAGTGAGTGAGTGAGTTTAGTTTTACGCCACACTCAGCAATATTCCAGCCATATGGTGGCGGTCTGTAAATAATCGAGTCTGGACCAGACAATCCAGTGATCAACAACATGAGCATCGATCTGCGCAATTGGGAACCGATGACATGTGTCAATCAAGCCAGTGAGCCTGACCACCCGACCCCGTTAGTCGCCTCTTACGACAAGCATGGGTTACTGAAGGTTCATTCTAACCCGGACCTTCACTGGTTCAGGATATAAGTGGGGATATACCAAACAGGGATATATCGGGACATATCTGAGCAAAATAATGTTAAATCTAAAACTTATGTAAACGGGTAACAGAATTCTACCACAGTTGTCGTACCAAGGCAACACACCGACAGAAGATTATCCGTTATTAGATACCCAGCTCGAACGGTGTACTAACGGCAACACTGGTGACAAGTCGTGGACTTCTAATATTTACAATAGTTGCTGTGCTGAATGTTCACTGAGCGTGGACACTGACAGAAGTTAAAGTAGCTGATAGTTTTGATACACAATGCCATTTAGAAAGTGGTCAAATGTACAATCACAAAGAAAGTGTAATCCTAAATATAACATATGTCACAGCTGATAGTTTGTTACCTTTACTTCCCTATATCCAATGCTTAAGTATATGATAGTTTGTTTCCTTTACTTCCCTATATCCAATGCTTAAGTATATATTGTTTCCTTTACTTCCCTATATCCAATACTTAAGTATATGATAGTTTGTCGCCTTTACTTCCCTATATCCAATGCTTGAGTATATGATAGTTTGTTCCCTATACTTCCCTATATTCGATACTAAAGTATATGATAGTTTGTTTCATTTACTTCCCTATATCCAATACTTAAATGTATGATAATTTGTTTCCTTTACTTCCCTATATCCAATACTTAAATGTATGATAATTTGTTTCCTTTACTTCCCTATATCCGATACTTAAATACATGATAATTTGTTTGCTTTACTTCCCTATATCCAATACTTAAATGTATGATAGTTTTTTTCCTTTACTTCCCTATATCCAATACTTAAATGTATGATAGTTTGTTTCCTTTACTTCTCTATATCCAATACTTAAATGTATGATAGTTTTTTTCCTTTACTTCCCTATATCCAATACTTAAATGCATGGTAGTTTGTTTCCTTTACTTCCCTATATCTGATACTTAAATGCATGATAATTTGTTTCCTTTACTTCCCTATATCTGATACTTAAATACATGATAGTTTGTTTCCTTTACTTCCCTATATCCAATACTTAAATACATGATAGTTTGTTCCCTATACTTCTCTATATCCAATACTTAAATACATGATAATTTGTTTCCTTTACTTCCCTATATCCGATACTTAAATGCATGATAGTTTGTTCCCTATACTTCCCTATATCCGATACTTAAATACATGATAATTTGTTTGCTTTACTTCCCTATATCCAATACTTAAATGTATGATAGTTTTTTTCCTTTACTTCCCTATATCCAATACTTAAATGTATGATAGTTTGTTTCCTTTACTTCCCTATATCCAATACTTAATACTTAATATGTGATGATAGTTTTGTTTCCTTTACTTTAAATACATGATGGTTTGTTCCCTATATCTCAATATCTTAAATGCATGATAATTTGTTTCCTTTACTTCCCTATATCCGATACTTTAAATGCATGATAGTTTGTTTCCTTTCCGATGCTTAAATACATGATAATTTCTTTCCCTATATCCTTTATACTTTAAATGTATGATAGTTTGTTTCCTTTACTTCCCTATATCCAATATCCAATGCTTAAATGTATGATAGTTTGTTTCCTTTACTTCCCTATATCCAATACTTAAATGCATGATAGTTTGTTTCCTTTACTTCCCTATATCCAATACTTAAATACATGATAGTTTGTTCCCTTTATTTCCCTATATCCAATACTTAAATGCATGATAGTTTGTTCCCTTTACTTCCCTATATCCAATACTTAAATGCATGATAGTTTGTTTCCCTTTCTTTCCCTATATCCAATACTTAAATGCATGATAGTTTGTTTCCTTTCTTTACCTATTCCAATACTTAAATGCATCCTTACTTCCCCATATCCAATACTTAAATACATGATAGTTTGTTTCCTTTACTTCCCTATATCCAATACTTAAATGTATGATAGTTTGTTTCCTTTACTTCCCTATATCCAATGCTTTAGTATATGATAGTTTGTTTCGTTTACTTCCCTATATTCAATATTAAATGCATGATAGTTTGTTCCCTATACTTCCCTATATTCAATACTTAAATACATGATAATTTGTTTCCTTTACTTCCCTATATCCAATACTTAAATGCATGATTGTTTTTTTCCTTTACTTCCCTATATCCAATATTTAAGTATAGGGCTAACTAACACAAGCCTGTATTGCTCCAAATAACTAAAGAAACATTGTAATTCTGTTCAGACGCAGCAATATTTCTTCTGAGCTTCAGTGCAGAAGGAGTACCCTGTTAAATGGCTGTATGCCAAACATTGTGTCATTCCAAATTGTACCATCTAGTTCCTGTAAGTATTATACCATCAATAGTTCTATCTTACAGGTTGGACGTTTTATGGAACCAACTGTTACCTGAAAGTATCCTCAGCGATGGAATGGGAGGAAGCAAAAGATCTCTGTGAAAGGTAGACAAGGGGAATATATCACCCTATTTGAAATGTCTCTGTAGCGTTAAAACTTGCAAACACCGTGATCTATACCAGGATTTTAGCCTCATCAGTGCAATATTTACTTATCTAACTCCAGGCACATTGCGTCAGTTCGGTGTCCGAGACCATCCAGTACAGCATGAGGAACAAAAATGTGTTGATACACGTGTTTGAAACATACAACAGTTAAACTTTCACGTTTGTGTTTCATAACAGAGAATTGGGAATGCCTTTGGAGATACAAGATGAAGTTGAAAACAAAGCTTTTGCTGAAATGGCGGCTTCATGGAACTTGTTCTGGGTTGGAGAAAAGATTAATGGTAAGGTACAGTTCATTGGTTGAATCTTGAACATGAAGTAAACAATGCATTAGATAGTATCCTGCCTGGTGTTTCATTGGTATGTTGGCCCAGTGTTTTGGTTACCCTGCATCGGCTAACACCAGTATAATGACTCCATTATATACTGACACTGGAACTATGTGGACATGGGATTCCATTGTTCTGTACCAGCTACCGTGACTTCTTTGAGAGGCCACGACGTTTCGATACTGGTTCTCGTATCGTTTTCAAGTGAGAATGGTACAGAGAGAGAACAGGTGATATATATATACAACAAGACTAATTAACAATCAAGGCGGAGTAACGATGTGATGATAACAAAAAAAGGGATAACAGAGGATTATAGGGATAAGCATAGAGGCCCGTGGAAGCCAATGATACACAGAGCATAGAACGGCTTTTATGTGTATCCCCGTTGTCCACTGCTATCCTGTATTCACTATCATCACATTGTGATTACACAATGCCATTTAAAAAAGTAGTCAGATGTAACATATGTTATATTTGGGATTACACTTTCTTAGTTTCTTAATTACACTTTCTTACTAAGAAAGTGTAATCCCAAATATAACATATGTTACATTTGACCACTTTCTAAATGGCATTGTGTCATCATACCGTTCGGCCGTGGAAGCTTTGCCAATTAACACTTATCAGAGGGGTACACAAAGCCAGCAGTCTAGACCACCAGTTGTGGAAGTCGCGGTAGCTGTGTGGGTTAGGCGGCTGACTTTGTGTGCTGGCGATTAGGTGCCTGACTCTGAGGGTGTGAGTTCGAGTCCCGGACGGAGTACAACTCAAAAAGTACTACAATTTGTACTTTACTAATAAACTTTAATAACAAATATAACATATGTTATCACATTGTTAATTGTGTATACATTCTATGCTCTGTGTATCATTGGCTTCCACTGGCCTCTATGTTTATCCCTGTAATCCTCTGTTATCCCTTTATTTGTTATCATCACATCGTTATTCCGCCTTGCCTTGTTAATTAGTCTTGTTGTATATATATATATCACCTGTTCTCTCCCTGTACCATTCTCACTTAAAAACGATACAAGAACCTGTATCGAAACGTCGTGCTTAAGAATAAAAGAAGTTGTCATCCATATATATTTGTTCTAGCTACCGTGAGGTGGAGTAAACCTGCTCATGTGATGACCCCAACCTCGGATTCCTACAAGGGCTCCTGGGACATTTAATTCTCATGTGATTCCCCTGACCTCAGATACCTGCACGGGCTACTGGGACGTCTAGTTCTCGTATGTGATTCCCCAAACCTCATATTCCCGTAAGGGCCCCTGGGACAATTAATTTATCACGTGATTCCCCTAACCTCGGATTCCTACAAGGGCTACTTGGTCGTTTACTTCTCATGTGATTCTCGTGACCTCAGATTCCTGCACGGGCTACTGGGACATTTAATTTATCATGTGATTCCCCTGACCTCAGATTCCTGCACGGGCTACTGGGACGTTAACGAGCCCCCAGCAAGTGTGAAGGAAGGAGATTGTGCTGCTGTGCAGAAGAACGGTCGTTGGAAGGTTGTGTCATGCCAGAGTCGTCTCCCTTTCTTTTGCAAATCTCCGTCCTGTTTGGAAGGTGATGTATTTTGCATTTGTCACATAACTCCATGTACTTTAGCATATCTTCCATATTTTCACAGAGGATAATAAACCTAGTAGGCCAGTAGAAACTGCACTGAACCTAGACATTTCTGATAACAGGCCAAATTTGTGATTATCCTGACCAGAAGGGTGTTATTGGTCACCATGAAAAACCCAAAGAAAATCAAGATGGGGAAATATATTTTTTGTGCATGGTTTTGAGGGTGGGGTCTATTGTCTTTTCATCCACATTTCAGCATGAATGCGCGTGTCACGGCTACATAGTTCACAACTAGTTTTTGGTTTATCTTCATACTGGTTAGTATTTTCATTTATAAAGAAGCCTACTTTCATCAAAATGTAAAATATTTAAATTATTTACCGATGTCGGCCATCTTGAATTAAAAATGGCTGCCATTTTGAAATCAAGATGGCCGCATATCACAATCAAGAAGGTCAGCTTCTGTTGCCTCTACTGTATATGAGGTCGTGAATCTCAAGGTTAATGGTTGCAATAATTTTCTGTTATATTTAAATAATTTTCTCTTTACATTGCCTCACTTCAATAAGAAACATTCTATGACATCAATCTTTTGCAATGCTTGAATGAGGTTTCGATCAAAATTCTGTTTGAAGCAAATGGAGCGAGATGCAAAAACTGTTTGCCTTTCTTGACATGACTTTGCTTCTGGTTAAACCTGTCTCATCAAATACAATGTTGTACCTGACTGCTGCTGTTGGCAATCTCATAATACACTGAATACTTTTGGACAGCATCATTCCACATGTGATCTTCCAGCTATATTAATTATGAAATATGTATACGTATCCATTTTCTGTCAGTTACACTATATTTTGAGGCGTGAGTAGACAGAATATGATAGTGATTGCTGTGAATAATGCGGGCCGAAGTTATAAATATCCGAGGGACACACGATTTCACAGCAGCTAATAGAAACATTCTTTTTAAACATTTTGAGTAAACTTACCGTCTCGTTGTTGATACCAACAGGGATCATTATGACATAAAAATGAAAACAAACACGAGTTCCCACAGTAAAATCTTTATTAGAACGGTAACTGCCAGTTGTCTTGTGGTCTGAGTTGGCCGCGATGTAACAGAGATGTTTATTCAACGTTATTTTAGTCATCTACGTCCGGATTACAAAGCATTGTTCCCATAGCAAGTTGATTGTCGGGACTGTTGTTTTAGTCCGGAATCCGTAATTAAGAGAGTCCGGATAATAATGATAAATTAAGAACAATTTTGCCGGGATTTGGAGATTCGTGGGTTCTTTTAAGTGTACAGGGTTGTGTACTGTACACTAGGGGTTGTGACAACACTGAACGAGTCTGCACACAAAATTGACGTCGGGTGGGCTCGATCCCGGCACCTTCAGCTCGCCGGATCACTAGCCTGGCGTCTTAGATCGCTCGCCCACTGCGCCCCACTATTTATAGATATAAGTTGTTTCTGTCACTTCATGAATAGATCGGTTGCATGTTTGCTGTGATAGATCAGTAACACCAAGACATCTGTGTCATCCACATAAACAACCACTTCATCTGTGCTTTTGGGCATCATGATAGCTTGTCTTGCAACAACAGCAGCAGCATCGCCCTCTCCACCAGCATGTTCAACAGGTATTCCTACTGAGGTTCTGAGAGCAGGTAGATTAAAGCCTGCTTATTCTGCTAGTTTGACAGGAAACCTGCTTTATCTTGAAGGACTGGAGTTGTGCTCTTCATTATTATGGCTGGTGAAGGTATCTTTTTAATTTTTCTCCTCATCGGCTCAGGCTCCTTGGTGGTCGCATTTTCATAGTGTCAAACACTACACAACATGGACGATTCTGTGTAGGTCTGTGCATGACACGATTAACATAGATCTTGCATATTTCAGCAATGGTCCGAATCCTTGGCCATGGTATATGCTGGAAACGTGCACATCCATTAATGACTACGCTTGGTGTTGTGTGTGCTTCTTCTTTGTGGTAATGTGTAAGCAGATATTTGGCCAGGGCAGACTTGGGCATTTTCTCATGGATCCAACATCATGGGAGAAAGCTGGTGGCACTGCTGCAAGTTCAAAGGAGAAGACATCATGATATGGAGGACCACTCACAAGACTTATTTATAGTAATCGCTTCTTCAACACATTTCCAGATGTCATGCCTGTCATATTTGTGCACAGAGCAGCCATTTGGTTTGTGCTGAATTCTTGTGGGTGATGTTGATGAATCCTCCTTTAGTTTTGCCTGCTCTGATTAGACATTGCTCTATGACCATGTCTCTCCCAGTGTCACTCCATAATTGCTTCGGGTTTCTTCTGATTGTAAACAGAACAGCTTCCATTGGTACTTTCACACAAGAGCACAGACAAAGACAATCGTGAAGATACAATCTGCAGAATTTGGCATAGTTGTTGTGTCCAGATGCTGGGTAACATGCCTACTGTTGGTTGCTTTCAGATGTAACTGCCAGTTCCCAGTGTGCTCTGCTCTCACAAACATCCTTACAGTGGAAACAAAGTCCATGAACATCAGCCACAGCTTGTCCTTGATGGTGATTTCTTCTGATCTTTCAGTTCAAGCAGTTGCACATGAAGCTGTTTGAGATTTTCACAGGCTGTGTTATCAACTTGTGATTCATGATTCATGTTTGTCAAGGTCACAGCACTTCGTCTCCCCTCTACTTCTGCAATAGTTATTCTTGATCCAAAATACTGAAGGAGGCGGCGTTTAAAATAGGTCGAAATCCCAGTAGGCAGATCAGCAGCATACAGACCCAACAGCTACTGTAGAGTGTACAGCTTTCCATTCTGCATACTTTCTGGCAGCAGCTCACACAAGGAACTGAAGGCTGTGTTCTTAATGTTTCTTGCTGAATCTGCAGAGTCTGTCCTTGCTGGCCATTCATGCTCATGCAAAAACCACTCCATGCAATGGCTGTGGTGTGTTGCCTCAACTGCACCAGTGTTACCAGCAACAACATCAACTGCCTTATCATCAGATTTCCTCCCACAGAAGTTGAGAACGGTCTCTTGCAGAATACTTTTTTCCCTCTGCTGAAAATATCAATATTGCTGATTGCTGAATTTCTATTTGGATGTTATTGAAGGTCTTCCAAATCACTATCATGTGCACATGATAAGGCAATGAGCCCTGTAGTTAATATACTGTTCCCTGGTCTCAATACACATGACTATTTTCTGAGCTTTCAGTATGTTCGATGATGCTGAGTATGACATTCTGCATTTTTCATGGACAAAGCTAATTTTATTTGATTAAAGAGTTGATGAATCATTACAAAGAGTTGATACTTTGAGTAGAATGTTTAAACCCTTGTCTCCTAGTTTCACTTCTCCTGAACCATTGTGACAAATGACACGTCATGATGGAGATCGAAACATATCTATAAAGAAAATAAACACTCCATTAAACTTATGATTAAACATAGGCGTATTTGGAAGTGGCAAGACATATTTTTTGGCCAATTATTATTTAGAAAATATATATAAACCTGTTTCACATCTTATATATTTCACTAATTGTGATAACTAAACTGATGTGCAAAAGAAAGTACACAGGTTGTGTTTCTTCCAATAAGATAAAAATACCTTTTGATGAAATGGAAAATGTATGTTGAAGCACACTGCAATACACGTGTTTTATCAGCAAAATGACCTTGTAACAATAAACAGCGATGTAGTAATGGCCACTGCAGACGGTCCCTACGATGCTGGAAGGTCAAGGCCATTCCACGTAGCTGTCGGTAGGCCCATACATGCCAGCAGGACGAAGTCGTCTTGTCACTGTGAATCGGCTTACGCAATGACCCAATGATGTGGCTGCTGATGACGTCACCGTCAACATCCAGTTGCGTAGGTGAATAACCCGCAGATAGCGGGGTGTTGTGACTCTGGAACATCCACTTCTGGGTCGATCACATGTCTGGCCTGTCGTACTGAAACGGTTAAACAGCCCAATTATGGTTTGCCTTGTGTAACCCAATGTCCTTGCAATATCGCTGTTGAAAGCACCCATTTTGACATCGATTTCTACTGGCCTATAGTTGTGATAACTGTCATATTCCTTTATGAGAACAGTTTTGTAAATGACAGGTTCGTTCGACTGTGGACGTGGAAAATGCCTGAACAGCAAGTGGAAGTGTGACGGCATCAACGACTGTGGCAACAACAGGGACGAGATGGACTGCAGTAAGTGACACTATCTGTATGTTCATTAGTACAAGCCCTCAGCCTTAGCCTTCGTAAAGACTGTAACGTTGAGATCCTGATTTATGACCATTATGATTCTGTGATGCCGGATCCGTGATTTTCCGTTTTCTCACACCAGAGTGGAATTTATTCTTGTTTATTGTCTCTGTTACCACTACAGCACATCAATGAACAGAGACACGTTACACATAAAATTGTTGTCTGTATTGGGCAGCAACGTAAGTTCATTATGAGAGACACTATCAACATGAAATTCTAAGTCTCATCTGTGAAGATCTCCCTTGTGTAAGTAAAGGAGAGTTGCTAGACGTCAAGGAATCCGACTTGAACCCACTAGGACAATTGACGAGAACAACAGGCAAGGGTTTCATGTCAGAAGATGCAGGTAGTGGCACAATGAGCAGAATGTACTGGAGCTGTGTCAGGTGTACTGTGTATCCTTGTAGCACACAAAGCAGTTCCTCCCAGGACATTTCTTCATATTACAGAGTTAGTTACATGTTTAGAAACAATTTATTCTGTGATATTATCCACACTGAAAATAGCAATTCATATGGAAATGACATTTGTGACATTTCATCTATGTTTAAGGTTCAAAGTGTACATTTATAAAGACCGGCGCCAGTGGCAGAATCAACTACTTCAGCGGCTACACCAACAACTCCGACTGTATGTGGACCATCATCTCACCTCCTGGAACACAGCTTGGAGTCACGGTACACAGGGAGATAACCGCAGTTGGAGGCGTAACGCCCTCAGCATATCGTATATATACATTCGTGATGAAATATGCTAGATAATATCATCATTCTACTCTGGACTATTCCATTGTCTCTACATGTAGCATATTTTTTGAAGTGGTAGGGATATCTGGGAACGCTGCGATAGCATCAGGGAACGTGTATATCAGGGGTCCTCTACAAGTTGCTCATTTGCATGTTTTTGTTGTCTAATATGGAGCGAAGAGATGCAGAGCGTGAGTAACTGGTGTTTTGCTTGTTTCAGTTCAGCTCAGTGCGCCTGGAAGATAAGGTGGATATACTGGAAGTGAGGGTTGGGGGCCAGACGATACTGGACACCCGGGTGTTGGAGACACTGACAGGCAGCCTCAGCAACAAGGTTATCTTCAGCACCAACAACATGATGCTGCTACGTCTTACATCCGACTCCTCCGTTACAACATTTGGCTTCGACCTCACCTGGTCGTCATGTAAGTTGGTGGATTGTGTTGGGACAGCTTGCCTTTTCCTTCTTTACATGTTTCTTTGTATTATGTTTTTGTGGATTCTTTTCACAGCTAACAATAACCTCTCGACGGACGTCCGCCCTATGACTGCTGGGTCTTCGTGGACAGCCTTGACGTCGCCATTCTTCCCCAGTACCCCACCTAGTGGTTTCCGACTTGAGTGGTTGGTGTTCAGCTCAGACAATACAATTGTCACACTCATGGTAAGTTGATCTTATACACAGCTAACACTGCCGACTTGAGTGGTTGGTGTCCAGCTCAGACAATACAAGTGTCACACTCATGGTACAAATCCTCCGCTCAGTGTACAGATTTCGGGGAGTGCACAGATCGAGTGTACAGTCTTACAAAATTATTTATCTTGGAGTAGCGGGGAGGCCCGGCCCCCTGCTCATCAAACGGGGGTAAACAGCTGCCCAAGTAACCATCTCTTCAAGATATTTCAAGACGCATCTTTGATATATTCATGACTTCTTCTAAGATCAACACGAAACTTATGGATGTTCTTCCAATACATCTTGTAATAATTCAAACGATACCTCATCTCAATTAACCTTGCCGTGGTGCCAGGAGGTACATCCAGGTTGTATATAGCTAAACGGTCATAAAATATCTACTTCCTGATCTAAAAAAAAAACTTTGCCGAAGAAAGTAGCATTGTTGTTTTCACCAGCCTTTAAATCAATAATGTATTGTGCTGTTGAAAGCTAAACCCAAACTAGTGCTCCCCCAGAATACCTGCCAAACTGTGATTGCTTCGAGGCTGGTGGACAGAAACTTTGGGAAATATACTAAAAATCATTGAAAACGCTCCAGTCTAACCTTTTCCATATTTTCATCAAGATGGATTTCAGCATGAAATGATCAATGGATATAACTAGCATGAAGTCGAAGGGCATGTCCAGTTGAAAAAAAATGCTTTAGAAGCAAATTCCTGTCCACAGTATGACTCTTAAGTCCAAAATGCATCAACATGCAGCCACGCCATGAAAAATGCGCGAATTTAATTCTGAAATCATACTGACTGTGACATTAAGCAGGTGTATGAGAACCAATTCTCATTGCTTCACTAACGATTGTGAAACGAGGACAGAGATGCCAAGGTTAACACCTCAGGAAAGAGAACGTGCACTAGGCATGATTCAGGTTGGCATCAGCAGCAGGGATATTGCTCGACAACTTGGACTTGGCTTCATAGACGACATCAGTAGACAGGCAGCACCCGTGACCTTCAATGACCTTGGCAACAACATGTTACGACGCTCAATCAGGATCGCCATATAGACATTGTCCATATCAGTGATTGAACACTGCCGACTGCCAGGACTGCTGCACTTGTTCAAGGTTGACGTGGGGGTCATCAGCGCTGACTCCATGCGACGCCGTCAACACGCTACAGGGCTCCATGCTCGACGTCCTTACGTTGGACCAATTCTGGTCTGACACCGTAATGAGCCTATGCAATGGGCTAGCAGGCATTTTCAGTAAAGGTTACAACAATGGCATGGTGTCGTAGTCACTGACGAGTCACGTCTTCATCTTTATAATGCTGACGGCCTATTACGTGTTTGGCGTAGACATGGTGAACGTTATGCTGATGAGTGTGTGGTTCAGACAGACCTTTGGGTGGTGGGAGTGTCATGGTCTGGAGTGGAATAAATTACAATCACAGGACTGCCTTCATGTCTGTCAAGGGAGAGTTAATGCCCTTTATTACCGTGAGCAGATTCTTCAGAATCACATCGTATCTGTCTTCAATCACCACCAAGAAGTCCCTACTTTTCAACAGGACAACGCACGGGCACACACAACAAGACTTTCCATGCAGTATCTGGCCCAGCAACACATCCAGGTTATTCATTGACCAGCACAGTCGCCAGATGTATCCCCCATGGAGCACTTGTGGGACGAAATTGGTCAAAGTCTTTCGCGGCGACAACAGATGCGAAACATCCGGGAGCCTGAGGCTGCACTACTGCAGAAGTGGAATGCCATCCTCAAAAACTCTATTCGGACGCTTATTGACTCAATGAGGAGACGTTGAACTGCATGTGTCAATGCAAATGGCGGTCACACGCGATATTGACCTTTCGTTTTGACCCCACGTGTGTTTGATCCTTTCTGACTGTGGAACATTTCAATGAATGAGCGTCTTTTCTGTGTTGTTGTTTTTGTCAGTCGGCCATCTGTTATTATCCACTCAAAAATATCAACTCCTTACACGTGCTTTTAATAATCTGAACTTTTATAAGTGGTGCGCTTTCAATGATGTTCAGTAATTATTACAGTCAGTTTCAGTTTGTCCAGGTTTCATACAAATAGACATTATTTAATGTTTCAAAAAAGTTATGTCAGAAAAAGTGAACCGATTTCGATTTTTTAAAGCATAATATTGGTGAAATCTTGATAAATATAATGATATTTGTTCTCTTGTGCACTATGCATATGCTTTGTTGAGGTGGAGGACGTTGACCTTGGCCCTGACTGGAAGCTGATGGTCTACAATGGGGAAGGGTATGCCGACTCACTGCTGAAAGCCTCCAGACGGACGCATCTCTCTTCTCCCGCCATCTATTTCTCCACCGCCCGTAAAATTCGGATTATCCTGAAAGGGAAAGACACGTCTGGAGGGGGACGTGGCATTAAGTTCAGGGTTAAGAATGGTAAGCTGAGGTTAATGTGATATCTAGCACTATACATATCAATGATCAGTGTGGGTTATTGCTACATAAACGGTCTGGGAATGCATTTTGTAATCGATAGAATTCATCACCAGATGCATTGTTGAGTCACTGATTCAAGCATGCTCTAAACGAGAAGTAAAGAGAATCTATGCATCCCTCGTCTGTAGGATGCAACGTTGAGATACAAGCAGCTAGTGGCACAGTGACCTCTCCTGGATTCAACAAGAAGATATACCCGACCTCTGTGACCTGTTCCTGGAAGATTCAGGCGCCGAGTGATGCGAACAGGAACCTCATGGTCAAATTCCTTTACCTCGTTCTGGAGACCGTTGGCAAGGATCTAATCGAGGTACACTATTACAGACGTCATGTCTTGCAAACAAATCAAAAAAGACGTAATCTGGTAAAATTATTATCTCTGTATTACTGACGATGTCTGTAAGGTTATAGTAGTTGGAATATTAAGACCTTCATACAATAAATCAGATAATGCTATAACCTTTACCGAAGAGCGATATGTAACTGCGATGTCACTATACGACAGATATACAATGGTTCCGACGCCTCGGCTGCAGCCCTTCACTCGGGCAGCGGCTACACCGGGGACCTAACGTCATCTCTTCCCAGCGTCAACGGAGGCAACACTCTCTTCGTCAGGTTCAAGTCCAGCCTCATCCAGGACGAGGGGGGTTTCCAGTTTGAGTTCTCAATAGGTGAGCGTCACTGATCAGCATTAGGTATCCCACACACCTATTGGTGAGAAATCCGTTTGAGAAAGTTGGTGAAACACGAGTGAGATCGAGGTCCTTGATTGGCTATTCCTTGGTGATGGCCTCCGGTCAGAATGTGAGGAACAAGTTTCCTTGTGGTAATGCATTTGGAGGTTTCCTTTTTCTTCAGTCCCAATTAACGCCTGTTTATCTAGCTTGCTTCTTCACCATCGCATTTATCATTTACAGATGTAACTGGAACCTCTTTGTCAAGGCTTGCACTTTGATACGCCCTTTGTCTTTTGTATCACAAGCAGCAGGCGAAAAGGCAACATATGCATCATCGATTCTACAGTGAAATGATCAGATATCAGTGTTTACAAGGAGGCATTACTGCATTCGTATCTATCATATAACATGTAAATTAAATGTCTTTTTTCCCTGTGCACAATAAGCACAGTCGCCTGTGTAAGTTCGCTCCTAAAATGGTTCCAGTTTCTTCCGATATAGCCCCTAGTGTGATAAACAACAGTTTTCTGACCCCTGTATTTTCAGGAGATGACCCGAGACTCACCCCTGACAAACCTAAGTGCTGCGACTTTACGTTTTACATTAATGTTTACAATTTTGCTGAACATATGTGTGTTCCATTCACATACCAAGATTTATCTATTTCAGTGAACATCACTGACAAATAATTTGCTTTTGTCCAGATTGTCCGTCTGTTCCTGACTCTGAACATATGGTGAAATTATCTGCCGCTACAGCCTATCTGAGTTCTGTGACTGTCAACTGCAACACTGGATACTCGTTCAAACAGGAGGAATATTATCAACAAGCTACTGTGTCTTTCCTTTGTGAGAAGGGAGGGAAGTGGGATAAACCGAGATATCCTACCTGTCAGGGTAAGTTACACAGTGAGGGCAAGTAACACGTGCTGTCAGGGCAAATAACACTGTCATGATAAATAACACTGTGATAGCAAGTAACCCTGTCATGGTAAATAACACTGTGATAGCAGGTAACACTGTCATGGTAAATGACACTGTGATAACAAGTAACACTGTTATGGTAAATAACACTGTGATAACAAGTAACACTGTCATGGTAAATAACACTGTGATAAGAAGTAACACTGTCATGGTAAGTAACACTGTGATAACAAGTAACACTGACAGGGCAAGTAACACTGTGATAACAAGTAACACTGTCATGGTAACACTGTGATAACAAGGAACACTGTCAGGGTAAGTAACACTGTGATAACAAGTAACACTGTGAAGGCAAGTTACACTGTCATGGTAAATAACACTGTGATAGCAAGTAACACTGTCATGGTAAATAACACTGCGATAACAAGTAACACTGTCATGGTAAATAACACTGTGTTAGCAAGTAACACTGTCAGGGCAAGTAACACTGTGATAACAAGTAACACTGTCTAGGTAAGTAACACTGTGATAACAAGTAACACTATCAGGGCAAGTAACACTGTGATAACAAGTAACACTGTGAAGGCAAGTAACACTGTGATAACAAGTAACACTATCAGGGCAAGTAACACTGTGATATCAAGTAACACTGTCTAGGTAAGTAACACTGTGATAACAAGTAACACTGTCTTGGTAAGTAACAGTACTGTGATAACAAGTAACAGTGTGAAGGCAAGTAACATTGTGATCCCAAGTAGCACTGTGAGGATATGAAACACTTTCAGGGGAAGTAACACTGTCTGGATATGAAACACTTTCAGGGGAAGTAACACTGTCTGGATATGAAACACTTTCAGGGGAAGTAACACTGTCTGGATATGAAACACGTTCAGGGGAAGTAACACTGTCTGAATATGAAACACTTTCAGGGGTTGTAACACTGTCTGGATATGAAACACTTTCAGGGGAAGTAACACTGTCTGGATATGAAACACTTTCAGGGGAAATAACACTGTCTGGATATGAAACACTGTCAGGGGAAGTAACACTGTCTGTATATGAAACACTTTCAGGGGAAATAACACTGTGGTGATATGAAACACTTTCAGGGGAAGTAACACTGTCTGGACATGAAACACTTTCAGGGGAAGTGACACTTTCTGGATGTGAAACACTTTCAGGGGAAATAACACTGTGGTGATATGAAACACTTTCAGGGGAAGTAACACTGTCTGGATATCAAACACTTTCGGAGGAAGTAACACTGTCTGGATATGAAACACGTTCAGTTGAAGTGACACTTTCTGGATGTGAAACACTTTCAGGGGAGATAACACTGTCTGGATATGAAACACTTTCAGAGGAAGTAACACTGTCTGGGTATGAAACACTTTCAGGGGAAGTAACACTGTCTGGATATGAAACACTTTCAGGGGAAGTAACACTGTCTGGATATGAAACACTTTCAGGGGAAGTAACACTGTCTGGATATGAAACACTTTCAGGGGAAGTAACACTGTCTGGGTATGAAACACTTTCGGAGGAAGTAACACTGTCTGGATATGAAACACTTTCAGGGGAAGTAACACTGTCTGGATATGAAACACTTTCAGGGGAGGTAACACTGTCTGGATATGAAACACTTTCAGGGGAAGTAACACTGTCTGGATATGAAACACTTTCAGGGGAAGTAACACTGTCTGGATATGAAACACTTTCAGGGGAAGTAACACTGTCTGGATATGAAACACTTTCAGGGGAAGTAACACTGTCTGGATATGAAACACTTTCAGAGGAAGTAACACTGTCTGGGTATGAAACACTTTCAGAGGAAGTAACACTGTCTGGGTATGAAACACTTTCAGGGGAAGTAACACTGTCTGGGTATGAAACACTTTCAGGGGAAGTAACACGGTAAAGGGTAGTAAAGGGAAAGGGACACTATGAGAATATGTTACATTGTTAGGTTGAGTCCAAGTGCCAATCTAGGCAGTATTCCAAGCATCTGCTGGTCCTTAAATAAATGCTGTTTGGTTATCATAAACACAATAACGTCACGTCTCGGTACGTCGACGCGCTGCAGCTGTCAACTGATTCATATATCTGATACCTCACTAACGCATGTTCTTACATATCTCCTAAACTTGACATTGTAAAAAGCATTACAACACATACTACTACCAAAGTAAGAAGCCCCATGACACATACCCCTCTCAGTGTTAGACGTCCTATATCACATACTGCTACCAAAGTAAGAAGCTCCATGACACATACTCCTCTCAGTGCTAGACGTCCTATATCACATATTGCTACCAAAGTAAGAAGCCCCATGACACATACCCCTCTCAGTGTTAGACGTCCTATATCACATATTGCTACCAAAGTAAGAAGCTCCATGACACATACCCCTCTCAGTGCTAGACGTCCTACAACACATACTACTACCAAAGTAAGAAGCCCCATGACACATACCCCTCTCAGTGTTAGACGTCCTACAACACATACTGCTACCAAAGTAAGAAGCTCCATGACACATACCCCTCTCAGTGTTAGACGTCCTATATCACATACTGCTACCAAAGTAAGAAGCTCCATGACACATACCCCTCTCAGTGTTACACGTCCTATATCACATACTGCCACCAAAGTAAGAAGCCCTATGACACATACCCCTCTCAGTGTTAGACGTCCTATATCACATATTGCTACCAAAGTAAGAAGCCCCATGACACATACCCCTTTCAGTGTTAGACGTCCTATATCACATATTGCTACCAAAGTAAGAAGCTCCATGACACATACCCCTTTCAGTGCTAGACGTCCTACAACACATACTACTACCAAAGTAAGAAGCCCCATGACACATACTCCTCTCAGTGTTAGACGTCCTATAACACATACTGCTACCAAAGTAAGAAGCCCCATGACACATTCTCCTCTCAGTGTTAGACGTCCTATAACACATACTGCTACCCAAGTAAGAAGCCCTATGACACATACCCCTCTCAGTGTTAGACGTCCTACAACACATACTGCTACCAAAGTAAGAAGCCCCATGACACATACCCCTCTCAGTGTTAGATGTCCTACAACACATACTGCTACCAAAGTAAGAAGCCCTATGACACATACCCCTCTCAGTGTTAGACGTCCTACAACACATACTGCTACCAAAGTAAGAAGCTCCATGACACATGCTCCTCTCAGTGTTAGACGTCCTACAACACATACTGCTACCAAAGTAAGAAGCCCCATGACACATACCCCTCTCAGTGTTAGACGTCCTATAACACATACTACTACCAAAGTAAGAAGCCCCATGACACATGCTCCTCTCAGTGCTAGACGTCCTACAACACATACTGCTACCAAAGTAAGAAGCCCCATGACACATTCCCCTCTCAGTGCTAGGCGTCCTATAACACATACTGCTACCAAAGAAAGAAGCCCATGACACATACCCTCTCAGTGTTGGGCGTCCTACAACACATACTGCTACCAAAGTGAAGCCCATGACACATACCCCTCTCGGTGTTAGACGTCCACCACACACATACTGCTACCAAAGTAAGGGCCCCATGACACATACCCCTTACATTGTTAAACGTCCTACAACACATACTGCTACCAAAGTAAGAAGCCCCATGACACATACCCCTCTCAGTGTTAGACGTCCTATAACACATACTGCTACCAAAGTAAGAAGCCCCATGACACATACCCTCTCGGTGTTAGATGTCCACCACAACACATACTGCTACCAAAGTAAGAAGCCCTATGACACATACCCCTCTCAGTGTTAGACGTCCTACAACACATACTGCTACCAAAGTAAGAAGCCCCATGACACATGCTCCTGTCAGTGTTAGACGTCCTACAACACATACTATTACCAAAGTAAGAAGCCCCATGACACATACCCCTCTCAGTGCTAGGCGTCCTACAACACATACTGCTACCAAAGTAAGAGGCCCCATGACACATTCCCCTCTCAGTGCTAGGCGTCCTACAACACATACTGCTACCAAAGTAACAAGCCCCATGATACATACGCCTTTCAGTGTTAGACGTCCTACAACACATACTGCTACCAAAGTAAGAAGCCCCATGACACATACCCCTCTCAGTGTTAGACGTCCTATAACACATACTGCTACCAAAGTAAGAAGCCCCATGACACATTCCCCTCTCAGTGCTAGGCGTCCTACAACACATACTGCTACCAAAGTAACAAGCCCCATGATACATGCTCCTCTCAGTGTTAGACGTCCTACAACACATACTGCTACCAAAGTAAGAAGCCCAATGACACATTCCCCTCTCAGTGCTAGGCGTCCTACAACACATACTGCTACCAAAGTAAGAAGCCCCATGATACATACGCCTTTCAGTGTTAGACGTCCTACAACACATACTGCTACCAAAGTAAGAAGCCCGCTGACATATACCTCTCAGTGTTAGACGTCCTATAACACATACTGCTACCAAAGTAAGAAGCCCCATGACACATTCCCCTCTCGGTGCTAGGCGTCCTATAACACATACTGCTACCAAAGAAAGAAGCCCCATGACACATACTCCTCTCAGTGTTAGACGTCCTACAACACATACTACTACCAAAGTAAGAAGCCCCATGACACATACCCCTCTCAGTGTTAGACGTCCTATAACACATACTGCTACCAAAGAAAGAAGCCCCATGACACATACCCCTCTCAGTGTTAGACGTCCTACAACTGAAAAAGTCATACTGCTACCAAAGTAAGAAGTCCCATGACACATACCCCTCTCAGTGTTAAACGTCCTACAACACATACTATTACCAAAGTAAGAAGCCCCATGACACATACCCCTCTCAGTGTTAGGCGTCCTACAACACATACTGCTACCAAAGTAAGAAGCCCCATGACACATTCTCCTCTCAGTGTTAGACGTCCTACAACACATACTGCTACCAAAGTAAGAAGCCCCATGACACATACCCCTCTCAGTGTTAGACGTCCTACAACACATACTGCTACCAAAGTAAGAAGCCCCAAGACACATACCCCTCTCAGTGTTAGACGTCCTACAACACATACTGCTACCAAAGTAAGAAGCCCCATGACACATACCCCTATGACACATAACACATTCGCCTGCCACTGTAAAATGATCTTAAACAAATACTCCTCTCAGTGTAAAAGTGGTGAGCTGTCTTTTAACAAAGTATGGTGAGCGAACAAAACAAGGTTACGTAGTAGGTTCCTGACATAAGAATACTTCTGAGAAAGGAGATATAACATCTGTTAAAAGAATTATAAAGGTTTGCTTGGATGGACAATTACGACATTCAGGTGGTATGTAGCGTTGTATCAACTCAGAGTAAGCATCACATACCAAAAGGAAATGATATGCATCTTCAGCAGCATCACGACTACAGTATCTACTGCAGGAAAATTTCCTTTGTGAAACATAAAATCACAATAACAAGGAAACTGGGCTAATGGTGTTCTCACTGACTTAATGTTTACACAATAGAGGTACTTTTCACAAATAAATTGTTCTTTGAAAAAAGAATATGTGTACGAACGTATATTTTGTTTTAAGTTGGCTGACCAGTTCAGTCTTTAAATGCCTTAAGTACAAGTGACAGGAATATGGCTTTGTTTCCTTTGCTTTGTTTCAATCCATGCTTGGCAAAGTCCTCCTTCGAATGGAGTGATGTTTGACAAGGGTAGCCCAATGAGATTGTTTCTAGTCGCAGCAGAATGTTTGTTATATAACGTATATGTTTTCAATGGGTAGCATGTGTAAAGCTTTTAACCAATAAGAAATAGAACGTGTAACTGTATAACCATGTTTTGGAAATAATTCCACAAATGGGATATTAGTTGGTCTTCTTACATCAACAAAACGTTTTAATACAAAGCTTTTCTTAAATACAGTTATATTTACGAAGACCACATATTTCACACCCATACATCAATATAGATAATATTTTACCTACATATCATAAGACACAGATTGAAAGCTTAAAAGATGTCTTTGTACAGACATTGGTACTTTCTAGGCCGTAAAAGCTGAATCTTCTACATGTGCTTAACAAGAAAGGCATCTTGTGAATGACAGACTTACATTATTGTATCATTTATCAATTGTTTTATCGGAAAACATTTATAGAGAAATATTTCTGTTTTTGAGAGATTACGGCCATTTCAATAAACATCACCTTTGATTTTTTTGTTTTCATGTTACCGAAAGTGACACAGAGTCACAATAGCGTTCTAGAAATCAGTTTGTTTTTGAAGACCAATTACTGAATAAGATAAAAAGAACAACATCGTCCAGAAACAAAAGTAAAATTCAAGTGAATCTGAATAACTATTCAGAAAAAATGAAAATAGAAAAGAGCTCAGAAAACAACCTTGCCAAAGCTAGTTGGACAAACAAAATGATCTGAATTTACATTATTGAATGTTCGTACACTCGCTTTCACATTTTCGTAGACCATCTTTAATACTAGATCCATGTTTGTACAAACCAACTTCTCACCTAGATTTAAGATCACACACTTATAGAAACTGACGAGTGCCAGTCGTAAAACAGACATAGTCTGAAATGTAAAACATTGGTATGATATCTGTCTCAATGCCGATTGGTCCCATTGCAGTGGTGTACTGTGGAGCCCCGGAGGCCATTGCGTTCGGTTTCGTGAAGAACTACAGTGGCAATGTTATGTATAACAGTACAGCTGTCTATGAATGCTACAATGGCTACAAGATGCAAGGGACACCGGAAGTGACGTGTAGTACATCCGGCGAATGGCAGACGCTTCCCTCATGTGAATGTATGTATCTATAGAAATGATAAATAATAATCAACAAATAACACATACTTGAGTGGTTGGCACATATTGCATTATATACTGAAAGGCAAAAGAAACGTCGTAATATTAGAAGTGACATGTAAGTATCAATGGAGTATTTGAACCTATTCTTTTTTAAATGTACACCGGAAGTCTAGTTTTGAGGAAAACATGAATCGTGGTCGTATAGCCTGTTTTCCCCAATAAAGGATTGTTTGAGATTGAGGTTTGAACTGTTTTTGTTTGTGTAAAGGGATGAGTTCGCTCAAACACAACATTGAAATCGAGATGCACATGCATAATGCATGCATCCAGACATAAATTGCCGGCTTGAATCGTTCACTAGTTTTCTGAACACAGCACTATACATAGGTCTAAAGTTTGTTGACTTTCGATGTCACTTTTGATTGCTTCTACTGCTATATCTTCAGGAAGACTACTAGAATATTGTAGAATAGCACAAATGTATAATTTTAACAATATGGACATAAATTATGAATTCATAATAATAGACTGACACTGTATGTTCAAGGCTGGTTAATATATGTTGACCTATTGACACAATATATCACACCGCAAATGTTTTGGCCTCCCCTTAGCTGTCACGTGTGGTGCTGCTCCTGATGTGACGAATGCTGATTCCAACATCATCACCAAGACAGGTGCGACGGCGTACGGGGCAATCGTGGAATACATGTGCAAGGCCGGCTATGAGATTAAAGGATCCTCGCGCAGACTCTGCAACGCTACCAACGTGTGGAGCAATACCGCCCCAACCTGTGAAAGTAAGCACAGAGCGTTTAGACACCACCCTTCTTGTGAAAATACGAACAGATTATTTAAAAACCTCCACACTAGGGACAGTACGTACAGAGTATTTAAACACTTCCCAACTTGTCACTGTTCGTACATAGTATTTAAATACCTCCCCACTTGTCACAGTACGTACAGAGTATTCAAATACCTCCCCACCTGTGACAGTACGCACAGATTATTTAAATACCTTCCAACTTGTCAAAGTAGGTACAGTGTATTTAAATATCTCCCCACAAGGGACAGTACATACAGAGTATTTACATACCTCCCCACTTGTCAGAGTACGTACATAGTTTTAAATACCTCCCCACTTTTTGCAGTACGCACATAGTATTTAAATACCTCCCCACTCGTCACAGTACGTACAAAGTATTTAAATACCACACACACACACACACACACACACTTATCACAGTCCGTAAAGAGTATTTAAATACCTCCCCACTTGTCACAGTACGTACAGAGTATTCAAATACCTCCCCACCTGTGACAGTACGCACAGATTATTTAAATACCTCCCAACTTGTCAAAGTAGGTACAGTGTATTTAAATATCTCCCCACAAGGGACAGTACATACAGAGTATTTACATACCTCCCCACTTGTCAGAGTACGTACATAGTTTTAAATACCTCCCACTTTTGCAGTACGCACATAGTATTTAAATACCCCCACTCGTCACAGTACGTACAAAGTATTTAAATACCCACACACACACACACACACACACACTTATCACAGTCCGTAAAGAGTATTTAAATACCTCCCCACTTGTCACGGTACGTACAGGTATTCAAATACCTCCCCACCTGTGACAGTACCTTTCAGATTATTTAAATACCTCCCAACTTGTCAAAGTAGGTACAGTGTATTTAAATATCTCCCCACAAGGGACAGTACATACAGAGTATTTACATACCTCCCCACTTGTCAGAGTACGTACATGGTTTTAAATACCTCCCCACTTTTTGCAGTACGCACATAGTATTTAAATACCTCCCCACTCGTCACAGTACGTACAAAGTATTTAAATACCACACACACACACACACACACACTTATCACAGTCCGTAAAGAGTATTTAAATACCTCCCCACTTGTCACAGTACGTACAGAGTATTCAAATACCTCCCCACCTGTGACAGTACGCACAGATTATTTAAATACCTCCCAACTTGTCAAAGTAGGTACAGTGTATTTAAATATCTCCCCACAAGGGACAGTACATACAGAGTATTTACATACCTCCCCACTTGTCAGAGTACGTACATAGTTTTAAATACCTCCCCACTTTTTGCAGTACGCACATAGTATTTAAATACCTCCCCACTCGTCACAGTACGTACAAAGTATTTAAATACCACACACACACACACACACACACACACTTATCACAGTCCGTAAAGAGTATTTAAATACCTCCCCACTTGTCACAGTACGTACAGAGTATTCAAATACCTCCCCACCTGTGACAGTACGCACAGATTATTTAAATACCTCCCAACTTGTCAAAGTAGGTACAGTGTATTTAAATATCTCCCCACAAGGGACAGTACATACAGAGTATTTACATACCTCCCCACTTGTCAGAGTACGTACATAGTTTTAAATACCTCCCCACTTTTTGCAGTACGCACATAGTATTTAAATACCTCCCCACTCGTCACAGTACGTACAAAGTATTTAAATACCACACACACACACACACACACACACACACACACTTATCACAGTCCGTAAAGAGTATTTAAATACCTCCCCACTTGTCACAGTACGTACAGAGTATTCAAATACCTCCCCACCTGTGACAGTACGCACAGATTATTTAAATACCTCCCAACTTGTCAAAGTAGGTACAGTGTATTTAAATATCTCCCCACAAGGGACAGTACATACAGAGTATTTACATACCTCCCCACTTGTCAGAGTACGTACATAGTTTTAAATACCTCCCCACTTTTTGCAGTACGCACATAGTATTTAAATACCTCCCCACTCGTCACAGTACGTACAAAGTATTTAAATACCACACACACACACACACACACACACACTTATCACAGTCCGTAAAGAGTATTTAAATACCTCCCCACTTGTCACAGTACGTACAGAGTATTCAAATACCTCCCCACCTGTGACAGTACGCACAGATTATTTAAATACCTCCCAACTTGTCAAAGTAGGTACAGTGTATTTAAATATCTCCCCACAAGGGACAGTACATACAGAGTATTTACATACCTCCCCACTTGTCAGAGTACGTACATAGTTTTAAATACCTCCCCACTTTTTGCAGTACGCACATAGTATTTAAATACCTCCCCACTCGTCACAGTACGTACAAAGTATTTAAATACCACACACACACACACACACACACACACACACTTATCACAGTCCGTAAAGAGTATTTAAATACCTCCCCACTTGTCACAGTACGTACAGAGTATTCAAATACCTCCCCACCTGTGACAGTACGCACAGATTATTTAAATACCTCCCAACTTGTCAAAGTAGGTACAGTGTATTTAAATATCTCCCCACAAGGGACAGTACATACAGAGTATTTACATACCTCCCCACTTGTCAGGTACGTACATAGTTTTAAATACCTCCCCACTTTTTTGCAGTACGCACATAGTATTTAAATACCTCCCCACTCGTCACGGTACGTACAAAGTATTTAAATACCACACACACACACACACACACACACACACACACTTATCACAGTCCGTAAAGGTATTTAAATACCTCCCCACTTGTCACAGTACGTACAGGTATTCAAATACCTCCCCACCTGTGACAGTACGCACTGGATTATTTAAATACCTCCCAACTTGTCAAAAGTAGGTACAGTGTATTTAAATATCTCCCCAGGGACAGTACATACAGGTATTTACATACCTCCCCACTTGTCAGGTACGTACATAGTTTTAAATACCTCCCCACTTTTTGCAGTACGCACAATAGTATTTAAATGCCTCCACACTCAGTCACGGTACACACACACAAATGCCACACACACACACGCCTTATCACAGTCCGTAAAGAGTATTTAAAATGCCTCCCCACTTGTCACGGAGTACGTACAGGTATTTAAATACCTACCCACACACACATCACACCAAAAACATACAAATGTTCCCCACTTGTCTGCACACACAACTTGTCACAGTCCTTGCAGTTATTTAAATATCTCCCCCTACTTGTCACAGTACATACAGAGTATTTAAATACTTCCCACACATTGTCAGGTGCGTACATAGTATTTAAATGCCTCCCCACTTTTTGCGAGTACGCACATAGTATTTAAATGCTTCCCCACGTCGTCCAGACATTACGTACAAAGTGTTTTTAAATGCACACTTACACAGTCCGTAAAGAGTGTTTAAATGCACAGTACGTACAGAGTATTTAAATACTTTCCCACATGTGACAGTACGTACATAGTATTTAAATACTTCCCCACATGTGACAGTACGTACATAGTATTTAAATACTTCCCCACATGTGACAGTACGTACATAGTATTTAAATACTTCCACACATGTGACAGTACGTACATAGTATTTAAATACTTCCCCACATGTGACAGTACGTACATAGTATTTAAATACTTCCCCACATGTGACAGTACGTACATAGTATTTAAATACTTCCACACATGTGACAGTACGTACATAGTATTTAAATACTTCCCCACCTGTGACAGTACGTACATAGTATTTAAATACGTCCCCACATGTGACAGTACGTACAAAGTATTTAAATACACTTGTGACAGTACGTTCGGAATATTTACATACCCCCCCTCCCAATTGTGACAGTTCGTACAGTGTATTTAAATACCTCCCCACATTTGACAGTACCTACATACTATTTAAATAACTCCCCACTTGTCACAGTCACATACACAGTACCTTAATACCTCTCCACTTGTGACAGTACATACATAGTATCTAAATACCTCCCCACTTGTCACAGTACGTACAGGGTATTTAAGTACCTCCTCACTTGTCACAGTACTTACATGGTATTTAAATACTTCTCCACCTGTAACACTACGTACATATTATTTAAATACCTCCCCACTTGTGACAGTACATACATAGTATCAATACAATTCCCCACTTGTGACAGTACATGCATAGTATTTAAATACCTCCCCACTTGTTACAGTACGTACATAATATTAATACAATTCCCCACTTGTGACAGTAGAGGGCATAGTATTTAAATACCTCCCAACTTGACACAGTTCGTTCATAGTATTTAAATACCTCCCCACTTGTGACAGTACATGCATAGTATTTAAATATCTCCCCACCTGAAACAGTACATACATAGTATTTAAATACCTCCCCACTTGTGACAGTACGTATAGAGTATTTAAATATCTCCCCACCTGTGACAGTACGTAAAGAGTATTTAAATATCCCCCCACCTGTGACAGTACAAACAGAGCATTTAAATACCTCCCCACCTGAAACAGTACATACATAGTATCTAAATACCTCCCCACTTGTGACAGTACATACAGTGTATTAAAATACCTCTCCACTTGTCACAGTACGTACGGAGGATTTAAATATCTCACCACTTGTGACACTACATGCAGAGAATTTAAATACCTTCCCACTTTTTACAGTACGCACATAGTATTTAAATACCTCACCACTTGTCACAGTATATACAGAGTATTGAAATACCTCCACACCTGTAACAGTAGGTACATAGTATATAAATACCCCCCCCCATCTGTTACAGTATATACAGAGTATTTAAGTACCTCCCAACTTGTGACGGTACGTACATATTAATTAAATACCATCCCACATGTGACAGTACGTACAGAGTACTTAAATACATTTGACACAGTACGTACAGTCTATTTATATACCCCCTCAAACTTGTGACAGTTCGTACAGTGTATTTAAATACCTCCCCACATTTGACAGTATGTACAG